CGCAGGGGCTGGAGAGGAGGTGAAGGGTGGAGACCAGCAGGACGATGGAGCAGGGAGTAACGCCGGAGAGATGGCAGGGAAGAGAAAAAGAACTGCAGAAAGCAGTGAAGGGAAAAGAAAAAAGAAAAAGACACGAGGTATTTATATATATATGCGTGCATGTCCCAGACAGAATGCTCTGATGTAGTTCGTGCTTCTTGCTTGTTTCAGTTTACTGTAAATCTGCAGGTAGTGTAGGTCATTTTACCAGGGGAAAAAAAAAGCTTCTGGGTTCTTTGGCCGGCCTGTGTCAGAGCTGACAAAATAATTGGGCCAAGATTCAGTGTTAAGGCTTGAGAATGTGGTTGCCGTCCTTCTGGAGTCTTCATGAACTTTAGTGAGAATGACAGAAAAAAGGTTTTGAGGTCACATTTTTTACCAAATTATTTTTGATTGGGTTTTACTAATGGAAATCTCAGTGTTTTTTTTTTTTTTTTTTCTTTTGGAAACTTCCAGAAGCGGCATCAATGCCAGAGTTGTCAGAAAGCAATGGAATAAAGTGGATGTCCTCTCTGGAAGCAAAATTCGAAGATGCAAAAGACAAAAAACCTACTGCGGAAAAAGTTGAACGCTTGAGAAGAGAAAAGGTGGGACCACAGCATTGTAATGTAGCAACAGATTACTTGGTTTCTGTGGCTGTTTCATCTGAAAAGTGAGGTTTATTAATGGTAATTTCTCTTGGGAGGAAGGTGACCGACTATGGGGAAAATAACCAGGAGATGAATCCATATATGTTTATTTTTATGCTGTCAAAGAAAGAAAGAGTTTGTCTTTTACCTTTTAGATAAACCGCTTCAGAAATCAACACAAGATAAATGTTCAAGGAACAGATCTTCCTGACCCAATTGCCACGTTTGATCAACTTCAGAAGGAATACAAAATCCACCCTAAAATCATGGAGAATATTCAAGCTGCTGGCTTCCAGGTCCCAACACCAATCCAGATGCAGGCTATTCCCGTCATGCTTCACGTGAGTTTTCTGGTACTGCGTTTTGTTGCAGGGACTGTGGCAAACTTGGGAGAGCGGCCTCTCTTTAGGGTCATGGCAGTGGCTAGTTGCTCAGCTTTAGAGATACATCAACTGCATCAGAGTTCAAAACTTAGTCATTACAATATTCTTGATCTGTGCTGTTACTAAGGTATTTTGGGTTAGTTTGTAGCATTAATATTTAGGTGAATGTGATTTTTGTGGGGTTTTTCTTTTTTCTCTTTTTTTGTAGTAAAATAGAACACCCTTCTTGTTTTTCTTACAGGGTCGGGAACTTCTAGCTTCAGCTCCTACTGGGTCTGGAAAAACGCTGGCATTTTGTATCCCTCTCTTGACACATCTGAAACAGCCTAGGAACAAAGGATTCAGAGCGCTGATCATCTCGCCTACCCGAGAACTTGCTAGCCAGGTATGTGTTGAGGGGAAAGGGGTTGTTGTGATATTGATGCGCTTCAAAGTTTTCACTCTGAATCAGTAAAATAGCAGCTTGGTAAATATTTTTTTCCTTTATTACCCTCAGGTATCAGAAAAAGCTAATTTAAACGTGTCTTTTTGTCTTCTGGGAAATAGCTACATATCTAGCATCTTAGTCTAATCCAGATAATTAGATTAGAGGCTCAAGATTCTTTGATCACATTTTAAAACTGCCCAACACTTAGGTGTTCTTAATACCTACCTTCATATTTGAGTTTGCTACGAGAGATTTGTCTGTTTGCCCCAAACACAGAATTTCAACCAAAAGCTTCATATTGAAGCTTTGTTATTAAACTGAAATAAAAATTGCAACTTTTGGCAGAGTTCCGTTTTTATTCAAATGGGAGAGGGGCCTTATGGGAGTTATGTCCTTAGAGTCACAATATGGTAGTCAGATCTGTGAGAACTTTCAAGTGAAAAACGTGTGTTAGAAAGCTGTGTTTTATTATGCTCAGAAGACCAGACAGCTTTCTCTTAACACTGAAGTCAGGGTGATGTTTGAAACGCTAACTTGGCAATTTCCTGCAGTTTTTCTGGTCAGCAAAGCTAACTGGATTGGTTTGAAAACTTAGTCTCTTGCTGCCTTTTCAGACACATCGGGAGCTGGTGAAGTTGGCTGAGGGGACGGGCTTCAGAATACACATGATCCACAAGGCAGCTGAAGCAGCAAAGAAGTTTGGGCCCAAGTCTTCTAAGAAATTTGGTAATTGTTTTAACTACGTGAAGTGCTTCTGAAAATGTAAAAAATGTCACTGACTTTCCTCTTCTGGCCTGTGTGGTTTTAAAGAGATCAGTTAATACCACTTAAGACGTGCAATCTATTGCTCAACACTAAAAAAAAATGTAGCTGGAATGGGAGAAATAGGAAGTGAGCCTGATAGTGGACCCTGTTAAATTGTACCTCTGGCAGACTGGATTGGAACTTGTGTTTCTCGGGGCTCTGTTAGTCTGGTTTATTTTGTGTCTTTTTTTAATGTTTTGCTATTTTTTTTTTTCTCCCCCCGCCCCATTTCTGTAGATATACTAGTTACTACTCCGAACAGACTCATTTATTTGCTGAAACAAGATCCTCCAGCAATAGACTTGACCAGGTACCAAGAGTCTTTATCAAATTTGGCTTTGCTATTAGCTTTGCCACTGAAAAGCAGATGTGCGCATCGTCCTTGCGTGCGTGATGGTCTGTTGGAACTTTTGCCTTCTCCGCGAGTGACCCTTACTGAAAAGAAAACCTCTCTCTTCCTAGTGTGGAGTGGCTGGTGGTGGATGAGTCAGACAAATTGTTTGAAGATGGGAAGTCGGGGTTCCGAGATCAGCTGGCCTCCATCTTCCTGGCATGCACGTCCCACTTGGTGAGGAGAGCCTTGTTCAGCGCAACCTTTGCACACGATGTAGAGGAGTGGTGTAAACTCAACCTTGACAGCGTTGTTCTGGTGTCTGTTGGAGCAAGGTAGGTGTACCATTGTACCCTGACTCTCTCATGGGTCTTTTTCATTTCTTGGGCAAATTATTTGTTTGCTTTGCATCATCAGCCTGCTTGGTTGTATGTCTTTGTTGTTAGTCTTAGTACTGCAGGTTGGTTGTCTCCAGAAAAAATTGTGTAGGCGTACAGATCTTTCTCACCTACTGGGGAAAGTGTTGGTTTTCTTTACCCATTACTTTATCATCAAATAAACATTAAAGTTAGAATCATGTGCTGGTGAAAAAAGTTTGTCGTGCAATATTTCTCATTCACCAGGTAATATTTTATGGTTTTTAGTGTTTATAAGTAAACTCTAACAGTAGCACGCTTCTGTTGGATTTCTGGTTTCAGAAACTCTGCAGCAGAGACAGTAGAACAAGAGCTGTTGTTTGTTGGATCTGAGACAGGAAAACTAACGGCAATGAGAGAGCTTGTTAAAAAGGTATTTTGGAGAGGCTGAGTACATTCTGCTTGCTTCTGAACTGGGCTGTGTGTTCTGTCAGAGGCTCGTAATTTCCTAGGGCAAAGATTTCTCTGTGACACATGTAAAACCACTGTCCAAATCTGCTGTACAAGAGGAAGAGTAAGTACCCTACCTATGAAAACGGAGAGTGTTTCCCATTCTTGGTTATATATTTGAGTCTTGCTTCGGAGCAGTTTGTATTAAGTCTGTTTAATTTTACTTGGCAGTGTGAATGGGTTCTTCACATTGGGTGGGGAAAAAAATCTGTTTGTTTCTGTGGATTAAAATGCAGCCTGATGCTTACGAACCATTCCATCAAAGGCAATGGAGTTGAATTTGCTTAGTTCTGACTCCCAAAGATTTGGCAAGTCAAAAAAAAAAAAAAAAAAAAATCCTCTAAGGTGTAAAATACTGGGGCTGGTTAAGTCTCCTTAGCAGCTTGGTGTCTGCAGCCAATAATGGTAGGAAAAGGACTTGAACCTCAGACAAGCTTATTCTCTTGCAGGGTTTTGCTCCTCCGGTCCTGGTCTTTGTACAGTCTATTGAGAGGGCTAAAGAGCTTTTCCATGAACTTATTTACGAAGGCATCAACGTGGATGTCATCCATGCAGACAAAACTCAGCAACAGGTAGGGGGATAGAAGTTCTTTTCAAGAAACACTTTACAACACTTGCCTTTACCCTTCTTTCTAATGTAACTTGAGGTAACTGACAGTAAATTACTGCAGGTTTTTGCTTAGAGGTTTAGTTTTATTCATTAACATCATGACAACTTTCAGGAAACAAGTTCACCTCCTTTCTCAAATTGCTAATTAGGCTGTTTCCAAGTACCTTTTTTTTTCCCCCCCCCCCCCGTTTCCTAGAGAGATAACGTAGTACGCAGTTTCAGAGCGGGGAAGATCTGGGTGCTCATCTGCTCAGCCTTACTGGCTCGAGGGATTGACTTCAAAGGGGTGAATATGGTCATTAATTATGACTTGCCAACGAGCGCGGTGGAATATATCCACAGGATAGGTGAGTGATTGCTCACAAATTATGTTCTTTTTCTCATTTCCTAGATTTTTAATGTAGATGCTCTTGTGCACGAGCAAAAATCCTGAAACCGAGCCTCCTCTGTTGCTGCAGCACTGGCTTCTACATCACTTGAGCCAGTTTATATCTTGGCTCAACTTCCAGTAAAACTGCGTTAGTTTTTGTCAGTCTTCTATGAACCTTAAATATTTAGACGCTTCAGACATACCTGTGCTTTCATTCAATAGGAACAATCTCTGGGGATCGGCTGCTCAGTAGTGTGCTTAGTGTACTAACACACACCGGGAGGCTGGGGCTGTGAAGGGGAATAGAATAAATGGAGATATTTGAAGTAAAATCTTTATTCTTTTCGCAATTTGTGTTTGTCAGGTCGTACTGGAAGAGCAGGGCACACAGGAAAAGCAGTCACTTTCTTTACAGAAGATGATAAACCTTTATTACGGAGGTAAATTGGAAACATGATATAGCAAAAATGTTTTCTGTGTTTCGTATAGCGTACTGTATGGTTGTGTCTGGTACCACACATCTCGTAAGCACAGCATTGCCATGCTCTGGAAACCCCACGCTGCTGTAAAAAAAGCTCTTAGAAATGGAGAACTCTGTATCAACATGGTGGAACTGCAAGGTGGTACCACAGTATGGGAAAGACTGAGAACATTTCAATGTTAAGGTTTCTTTTTGAAGCCTTTCAGTAATGCAGCAAGAGAGAAACTAGCATCCTTTCACTTCTTCCAGTCACGTTGCCAGGAGTGACAACGCGATGGCTTACTTGGTAGCACCTTTCGGTGAAACTCAGTTATTCTGATGTGAACCTTGCTAAAGGGCAGGCTCAACAGTCTTTTACAAATAACTTTGCTCTTGTTCTGGTTTTCCTGAATCATTTGCCATGTAGACAGCGCAACTACCTCATGCTATGCTTTAGGTTCTTTAACTTGCTTGTGTCCAGAATTTCTTGGTACGATTCTCTGTTTCGGCTTACTGCTTTTTCTTCATCTCCTTGAAGGCTGTACTCGCCTAGAGTTTCAATTTGTTTAAATTATCCAAATGGAGTCATTAGTTTCATTTAAGCCTTTTGTGTCTTTTTGTTTCTTCCTCACCTTACTTCAAACTTGCTTTTGTGTCTTCATTTCTTGCTTAAAAAAAACACAACAGAACCCAACAGATTGCTGTTTTCTGCAGAAGCAGCTTATCTATTGTCCAAGCACTCGCTGCCATAGTTAATGTCTTCCCTCCTCTCCTTTCCAGTATAGCCAGTGTTATTCAGCGAGCTGGCTGTCCTGTGCCAGACTACATAAAACACTTCCCCAAACTGCAAAGGTATGTTCATTTGAATGCTTTACTAGTTTGTTTCCCATTTTAAAAGCCTGCATGAGCGGTGCTGGGTGTGTAAGGGTTGCAAAAGATCTGGTTGTTTGCAACAGAGTTGCGGTTTAGCTGCAAAAGGAATTTTAGACAGGGCAGACATGGCAGTTTTTTACCTGGACAAAAATGGAAACAAAAAGAATTCTCAACTTAAGGTTTTCCTGGAGCTAACTATTTTCTCTCTGAGTTCCCTGAAATTTGCTTCAGACTTCCTAGGCCCATACTCATGAATTGGGCTTCTGATACTTTACTCTTTTGAGTTACCTTTAGAAAAATTGGTGTATGTATACAGATAACTTTTTTTTTAATTAGTGCTTCTTTTCACGCTTTTTCATAACTTGTAGTGGTTTCTGAAATTAGAAATCCTTCTATATATATTAGACATATATTAAAACAAAGTTTGTTTGAATGTCTTGGAGATAATGTGGCTGAACTAATCTTGGAATAAACAACACTGAAAATATATTCAGACCCATAAATGCCGAACAACCAGTCAAGGTTTTCATTATCTGTTTTATTTACTTTGGATGTTAATTTTTGCCCTTTAAAGTAATTTAATATGTCTTCACGAAATGTCGTTCTCAGCAAACAAAAGAAGAAATTCATTAAGAAGCCATTGACAAGAGAATCCATTTGTACCACCCCTCAGTGCTTCTTAAAAAAAGCCAAAAGAAAAACGTAAGTAGGTTTTTCTCAACAGGAGATGCTGTTTATCCAGAAAAGGGCCAGCAACCTTCCTCTGGAATAACCAATAAGTTCTTTGGGTGGACCACCCGGTCACAATGATTTTAGTGATGGTGAAGTTTTAGTCTCAGTACCTGCCTACTGGAAATGGGATTAATGCTGCCAGTTTGCCTCGCATGGTGCCATGTATCGGGTGATAGCGAGCTGAGTTTAAACCACTGGCCTTAAAGCCAGACTTCAGACCAGCTGTCATTTCACAGAACCTATCTGCTTCCCTTCTGGCAAAGGGACGGCTTTGATTTTAACACGTGGAGTATTAATACAAGAAGCAGATGTTAAGTTGTAATGACCGGAGGTCACAGAAGATTTGGCATGTAGCAGTTTGGTGTAGTGGAAGTGGTCATAAAGAACACCATTACCCACACTTTGGAGTGTTGCTTCCGAAGGATTTATGTTCAGCTGTAAAGCGACTAATGTCTGTGTCACTGCTATATACTTCATCTTTTATATATATATATATAATGTTCAGGTGTCTTGGTCTCCACTGTGTTTCTTGTAGGAAAGCTGCAAAGGAAAACATTAAGGGAAAAAAGGAAGTTAAAGAAGATAAAAATGGCAGTAAATCACAGACTGTTTCGAAAAGCTGAATAGCAGCAGACTACTCCTGAGCTGGGGCTGGTGCCTGTGTCCGTACTGACAAACAGAAGAACGACGATAGCAGCAAAGGGGAAGGGAGAAAAATATTTCTTATGTGTCCCTCTGGGTGAGGATGGATGTTTACATGCAAGAAAGGCTCTACTGAAATACCAGTAGAGGATTCCTGAATGCTTCTTATAGAAGCTAAAGAGTGTGCTCTTGCAAAATGCCTTGTGTTTCTGAACAATAGTTCAAAAATAGCATCTGTTTGTGTTGCTGTCACGCAGTTTTGTATTACTCCTTGGGAATACTGTCAGTTCTGTACCCTAGTATGTTTGTCAGACTGCAGGAAGATTCAGTGGCAGAAAACACACAAAGCTTACTGTTAGGCTTGATAAAATGCGGCTGTCAAAGACTTCCCCGGACACTTTAAAAGCAAAACGGAACAAACCCACTTGTACTGTATGTGAAACTAAAGCCTTGCTCCTCCTACTTTTTTGCTTCTTTGAAATCATTTTGAAATAACTAATACTTTACATATCTGTAAACTCTAGTAATTTTGTACTGTTTCATATTTAAATCTCAGAATAAACAAAGTCATAAATGATTCTCACACAGGTGCCTGTCTGTCTGTACAGCCTTGATGGAACAAGTCTGCCGGCTTTACACAAAAAAGCCAGGCTCCTCGCGTTTTCCACCTCCTCGTCTGCTCTCTGTGTTCTCAGTCCAATGTTGTGTCACAATTCCGGTAATGCAGGAATGTCTTCTCGTTTGCAACTCTAACCCTCCTTTAAGGAAGCGTTCCTGTGCAGGATTGTCTTCCTGCTTTGTCATACTTGATGCAGTTTGGAAATGGATCCCAGGTCGGTATAACTCAGTTAGAGCGGGGCACTGTTAATCGCTCTGCCCAAGTGATGACTGTGGAGTTTTGTGAGAAATGGATGAAGGCTCTGCATCCTCTTCTGCTTATTCCTGAGCTGGACTGAAGCTGACCTGTTTTTGCTTTGTTTGCAGAATTGCATCTTCTATTTGGGTTATGTAGGAGCTAGTGTCTTCGCTTTGACATCTATGAGCAAATTTGCCTGTATATTTTAATAAAAATGCAGTTTATATTCTGATAAATACCAAGTTGCCTGCTGCAAGATACTGATGACGGATACGACGTGGACTACATTTAACAATTTGAGTGAGAAATTACCAATATTTGCCTTTAAAGGCACTGCTACTATGTAGGGTAGATGTGCTTATTAAAATAGTGGTAACAGGAGAGAGAACAGCTTTCGGTGATGAGCATCTGTGTCTTGTTATAGCAGGGGGCTAGAAGATGCTAGTTCTCTTTCTGAGGGGCTTAGTTTTAAAATGAGAGCTTAAATTTCATTTAGCTCTTTCTCTAAGGCCGGGTTTGATTTTAATGTGATTTCTGACCCCGATCAGTAGCGTAACGAGACGTTTAAGCAGCGGCCTTGCTCAGGATTTACTGGCTGTGAAGTGCTGAAAAGCTGGCACACCCAACACCTTCTGCCGAGGGTGAGGAGCAACTCCTGAATTTCCACGCTTTGTCACGGACTCTGGTGAGCTTTGGCTGACCTTACGAAGAGAGGGGAGCCGCTTCTGCGCAACAGCCTAGGGAGGCATTCCGCACCTCGTCAGGAGCGCTTATTTTACGGTATTTCTGAGGTTTTTGGCCGGCACAGTTACCATGTGATAAGTAATCTTTGCAGTGCCCCTCAGCCGGGGATGGGTTTCAGGTCAGTCCCGGGCTATCCATCCCCACGTCCCCTTGACGTTTGGGGTGGCAGGGCGGCACTTTTTGAGGGAAAAGCTTTTGTTTTCAGGTTCCTGAGGTTGCCTTTCCCAACACACAGCTTCGATTTACCAAGCGTTCTTCCTAGAACGCTTCCTTCTCCCCTTTAAGGCCTCGACGCGCGTCCCCGCCCGGCTCTGTGGGTTC